GACGACAGTAACAAGAACGGCAAAAAAGCAATAGGTTTCGATCAGCAAAACAACAACTTTGCACGTGCATCACACTTTTTCTTACATTTCTTCGCGGTCATCGCACGACCACGACTTGGAACTGCTTAATTTCACTTTTTTTTAAACCTAGACAAAGTCCTTTAGAATTCAACCCCAGAAAAGTTCATCAAAATTTGACAAATAGAACTATCTGGAATAAGAGCGAAGAATCTTGAAACAGCCTGAATTCACTTTTTTGCCACCTCCGTCGTCTTCGTTGCTTAAACTCCCACGGCGACGAAACAAAACAAGTGGAATCCAAGCGAGGAAATACTTGTTAAATGAAGTCAATATCACGGTTTCTTCTTTTACCTGCTGTCAAAACTGGGGGTAAGCAATCACGAAGGACGCCAACAGCCATCTATGCAGAAAGGGAGAACAACAAAAAATATCGTTTATTTTCGGCCAAAAAGTTTAAGGAAGCACTTTGACTATTTTTCCTTGAAATGAATACATCTAAGAAGCAGTTTAAAATCAAGTAGTTTTCTCTTTTACGAGATTAGCCGAAAAGACTTTCTATTTTGAAGTTTTTGCTCTGCTAGTCTTCATGGATTGGTCGAAGTTAAAGACAAAAGTCACCCAGTATACCTGGTCAGCAGCTGCATCCACTGGAGCATGCGATGCTAATTTCATCATCAGTTTCTCGACTTTCCTGAGGAAATCTGTTCTTTCTTTGTTGCTCTAAAAAAATGAAAAGAAGAATAATTTCTAAGAAATAATAGTCATACGCGATGCTAACAATGTAAAAACGCAAAAGAAAACCTACTTAGTCGGTAAGCGACCACAACATCAAAACCTGCCCCAAGCCTCTGTTTCAAAGCGAGGCTAATCGCGAAGCTATTGATATGAAAATGATTTTTTATTCTCATGCGATTGAAACCAATTTTCCCAGGAAAGATTTTGCACCGAGCCTTGTTTTGAAAGTGAGAGTTTTTGAAACTCGGAAATAGTGTAATGGAAGTCGTACTCATTGCAGTGGTGGGACGACGGCAAAGGAATGTACGAAAACCGTGATGCACGTGCAGAGTTGTTGTTTTACTGATATTATGGCTTTTTGCCGCTCTCGTTACCATCGCAAAAGTGGTTGCTTAAGCTCCCTAATCTCAGCGAAAATACAATTGACACCACGGAAAAATAAATTTTGTTTGTACTAAGCCTTCCGCAGTCCAAAGCCGTAAGTCCCCCCCCCCCCCCCCCCCCCACTCGGTCCAAGTTTTTTTTTTTCTCGAATTTTGGCGTTTTTCCCCTCTCGTTTCCCTCCCCAAAGTTGTTTGTTAAGCTCCCCAAACACCACGAAAAATAAATTGACACCACAGAAAAAAAAAATTTTTTTGTTCTAAACCCTCCCCCGTCCAAAAGCCGAAAGCCCCCCCCCCCCCCCCCTTCTTTTGTGACAATTATTCAGTTGTAGCATAAACCACATCTTCACTATCAGCAATTTGAGTGGGGATGTGCCGCCGGGACCCGGAACCCTTAGCCTATGTATGCCAGAGCTAGTTCAGCTGAATTTTGCTAAGATTTAACTCCCAAACTCCCTCCCTATCCTTGAGTCGTTATTTTCCAGAAACTATAAAGGTCGATGATTTCTTTGCTGTTAAATTAAGTTGCAGGCAAATTTAAATTGCCGATTTCATATTTTTAAGTATTAATTCCTGGCATTCCTAATCTAGACTAAAATTTTCAACCCATTGACCACTTGCCTGGAAAGTGAGCCCTATTCTAAACCTAACGTTTCTGATTTGTATACCCTATCCCAGACTAATCTGCTTGAAAACCATACCCATCATAGCAGTACCCACGGAAGCTTACCAACTCTGAATTTGCCACACCCATATAGTCGAGATAATTCAGTGGCAAACCCTGACGGAACTCAAGATCCTCCTCGAATGCGGTTTGCAGTGCTCCTGGAATCAACTAAAAACAAATTTAAATTAACTTATTATAGTTTTAACGTTCTACAAAATAGTTGCGTCCGACGCAGTAGACCGCAATTCTAATCTAGAGTCTTTTGTTGGGGTTCCTGCCAGTCACAGAAAGAAAAATTTGAGATTTCACTTGACGGACAACCGTTTGGCCATATTGGCTTGTTTTTTCGCAACGGCTGGGTCATAGTTTTCACACTAGCATTTAATATGGCAAACCTTTGCAGACCACTAACGTCATACAGTAGAACCTAAATATAACGAACGTCTATATAACGACGTCCTCGGAATAACGAATGACATTCTTTACCCAACTAATAGTAATATATGTGAAAAAAAACCTCGATATAATGAGACCTCGTTAGTCCCTTGGCCTTCGTTATATCGAGGTTCCACTGTATTTTGTCTCGTTTTCGATCATAGTTCTTTCACGTATCATCTGCTTCTAGTGCATCGAGTAACACTTCATCTATTTCTCAAGAGTTTCCACTGTGTTAACGGCAAAAGCATAATTTTTTTTGTGAAAGCAGCTGCTGTACATTTTCCAAAGAGACCTTCGTCTGATTTAATATGGCAGAAACTCGTGAGCTCCACCTGTGGTAAGTCTACGGCTGCTGGCGCAGGTGTCGAACGCACTTTTATTTGGCGAGTATTACTCTTAGTACAAGGCCTCCTGTGCAATTCTGACTTTTAATGCGGCGTGCTTTACAATAATTCAGTTACAAAACGGATGCTTAAGAAAATCTTTAACCTTTCAATCCCAAAGTGAATGAAGAAGTCTCTCTCGACTAGTAGGGTGGTTTTAACTTTTGAGTCTATGGACGAAATCCTGTCGTGTGACGATTAATAGAGAGCTTCAGGTTCGAGGACGAGGACGACATTTAATTTTTAATTTTAAGTTTTCTCGCCTATTCTCTAGAAATAGACTCCCCGGAAAGCTTCGTTGTACTTTTTTTTCACCACAAAAGTTAGTACGCTTATTTCCCTTGAAGGAGGTAAAGCCCCCTCCCGATCACTAAATGATGAAACTCCTAACATTTGATAACTTGTTTTCCCCACTACGACATTTTCGTTAAAACACGTGGTAGAATGACGACGGATACCACATTTTCCCACCAACATGAGGTTGGTTCGCGCGCGCGCACTACTTAGTATTGAGAAAATCTTGTTCTCGATGCCGTTTTCGTCTTAGAATCTAAAGCTCTCTAATAAGAGACCACTTTGGCAGAACTTTCACTTGGTACTATCTTTATTTCAGCGTTTCACAAAATGAAATTTAGGAAATTTTGTTGAATTTTGACTTTGACTTCTTTTGGGAGTGAAAGCGCCGGTTTACTGAGTAAAGTACAGACCTTTTCCATAAAATCAACCCAAGCATTCTTTTGATAAGTTGACAGAGTGATGTGCAGGGAATGGGTATCACTTGGAGTGTCAGCCTAAATAAAGAAAATAAAACAGAAGGAATGAAACAGACAGACCGTCAATAAAAATGTTGTTCGAAGAAAAAAAATAACATGCGACTGACACACAGTGTGGTCCTCAAGGTTCGTCAGGAATGTGAACTGGGTTGTGCCCAGAAATGTAAGTAGCTTCGGATTTCTTTAAAAAAAGTATTTGATAATCATGAAAATCCGTCCCTTCTTTTGAATTTGCTGCCAGAGTTATTTATACCTTCTTTTCATGTTTTGAGCGGTTATTCTTAAGTTTCATTCAATTTTAAATTTCGTGTAACAGCTCCTTAAATTCTATCTAACGATAAGGACACAGTAAAAGCTACACGTTTCTTCGAAATGTATTTCTTGACAGCTCAAGATCTACCCTCTTTTAACATTTCAGTATCATTCATTCAATAAACTAGCGGTGATGTGTAATACATAAACAGTGGCTCTTTGGTTTACCAAGTAGCACCCTAAAAGCTTAAGCAGAAGATAACGAAACAAACCTGATGAATTGTTCCTCTTGGAAAATACAAGACATCTCCAGCAGCCAACTCTGTATCAAGAATGGGTTCTCCAATTTCCTCCTGGCTGAAATTACCTAACAAAATAAATAAGTTAATGAATTAAATATAAAGGCTGTGAAAGGTTTGAACCCAGGAGTCATTTCAAAAGTAGGTTGAGTTTAATCGTCCGGGTGAACGTAGTCCTGAATAGGACTGTTGTTGTTGACAGTGACTGACGTCAGTCACTACGTCAGTCACTGTCAACAACAACAGTCCTATTCAGGACTACATTGACTTCACCCGGACGATGAAACTCAACCTACTTTTAAATATAAAAATATATATATATATATTGGCGGGTGAAGGTTTCAGTCACAATACCAAAAAAACCTACCACTGGAATATCTAGGTAAAGCTTCTGTATCATTTCTGAAGAGCAACAAAAAAGACAATCCTTAAGTGTGACATCATAAAAAATTAAATTTGTGAAATTATGGGATTTGTTGGGATATCAAGAAAGAACAACATCCAAAAGGCCTACTTGCCAAAACAAGCATTCTGGGGCAAACTGTTTCTGAGATATTAGCCCAGTTAGCTCCATTGACTCCATACAAATCCTTCTAAATTGGAGTCGGTTCATAACATTCATAACAAAGGCATCAAGAATACAGACCATACCCAGAAAAAGAGATGGAAACAGAGAAACCCTGGAGAGTACAAGGTTGCATTAGCTCTGTTATCTTAGTAGAAAATAGTGAAAAAATCCCACATGCTTTGAATAGTAGAAATAGCCAAACTTGTAGCTAAAACCATAGCAAAACAGCATGAAAAATACAACTCAAAAGATGACAACTGCTATTTAAATAATATCTGCCACACTAAACATTCCACAAGGCATTTCATTTGAGAAGAGGTCCAGGCACATCTACTTTATGGAAGATAATTTATTGCATGCATTGTCTAAGTTACGACATGTATAGTTACGTGTTGTCACTAAAGTTCTTCGTATATTCTAAGTAGCATAGTGCACACAGCGAACATAAAAATTAGATAAGGCGTCAAGTAGTAAGTTACAGGAGGTTAAAAACAATGGAAAGTGATTAACCCTCACGCCCAAAAAGTGGTTGTGGTCGCTTAATACAGGAGGTAGTCGTTTACTAGAGGTTCCAGCTGTAAGGCTTTGACTGGGAAAATTTTGGTGTTTTGGATTGGCAGTCGCTCATGGGAGGTGGTCGCACATGGAGGTTTGACTTTACAACAATTATTATTGGATTCAGCTTTCATATGATTTGAAGTATTGTGAAGATTGAGGGGGTGTTATCAGCAGGTAAATTCTTTAGACCACACTCAGCCTCATTCAATAATAATTTGTTTCAAAATTATTATAACCTGGGGTTATAGAGCCTCCAGTGTTTTCTGCCCTCCAGCTGTACAACAAAAGCTTCAATGTCATCATAATGTGGTGCAAATCCTTGAGAACCAGGTGGAGTTAGGTAACTGCAGAGAGAAATAATAGATCATTTGAACTTAAATACCCTGTGTACAGCAGCCCCCTCCCCTCAGAAAAAATAGGGACCTTAAGATACTCTGGACGCGGCCGAGGAGGACGTCAACCGGAAGTGAAATGTTCAATTCTTGGAACTAATTAGCATAATACCACAGCGTCGACCTGAAGTCGCGACGGTGAAAACTAAAAGTTTGGCCGCCTCGTAAAACGGTGAGTTGGTTTTCTTGTTTTCAGCCAGAAATTGCTTTTCGTACAGGATTTTCGATCCGTTTTACTTAACGAGACACATTTAAGTGTTTTTCGTGAGGTGTTCTCTCAAGATTGCCTCTTATTTTTTTGCTATCAAGCCTTTTGGGTTCAGTGTTTTGGCGGCAACTGAGAATGAAAGTGCTGAGTCTTTCGACATAAATGTAACACTATAACTGGTTGTTTTTAAGGGGACAACGTTCTCGCTTTAGGATAGTATTTGAAAACTTTAAGAGACAAGAAGTCAAATAAAAATTGTTGAAAAACAAAAAATCTAGGCTTGTAATAAACTTGAACGTGTCGGAGAAAATTGAGATCTTGAACAAGATGCCATGGTTCATTTATTAACTTTTATAATTTTATTTTGTTCACTTTCAGTTCAGCGATGAAGCGGTATCATATCGTTTTAAAGCAAGATCTAGAACAGCGGAAAGCGGAAAAGTCTGGCAACAAATAGCTGATAAACTGAACTCCGATCATACCCTCAAGTTTCCCTCGAAGAAATTCGGTTTTTTTTTTTTAGAGAAACTGGAGTAATAGCCGGAAGCACAAATTTTTCTTCCAATAAAAGATCGTCAAGGTATCTTAGTTCGTTCTGAAGTGCTGAATACCTTAATTTTGTGCTTTCGTAATGAAATAGGAGAGAGCAGTCCGCTCGTGAGTTGGGTTGGACGAGTTAGAATTAAACAAAAAGGGCGCTTCCACCGCGCGTCCTCACTCCAGGCTTTCTCCGTTCTCTTTACCGCCGCGTCCAGGGTATCTTAAGGTCCCTAATCGGAGGGGAAGGGGCGGCGGTACACAGGCTCTTAGAACTTAAACTGATCAACAGAGATGAGTGTGGGGGAGAAGTGCCTGTGAAGCTTGTGGAACCCCAAACTGCAGCCAAGAGCAATGTGTAACCTTGACAACCCTGGGAGGGGCATCCATCCAGGCACCATCACACTGCTATTACCTCTGCAAACTGAAAGACTTACCTTAGGGGGGGAAGGGTAGGGAACAGTAAAAACAATTGGCAAGAATGAGCCACCACACATGAATGCAATGGCCTGACGTCAAGAGAATGGCTGTAAAAACACACATGAGCCCCTGTGACATGATCAGGATGCCTCCACATATCTTTGACGAGAGACTGCTGGCTAGCCATCCCTTGAGATTAACTTAGCGTAAATTTCATTTCAGCCACAATAATTAAAATTTAAGATTATGATTCACACTTAGTCTAGCTACTATATACATTGATCCAAAGGCACAAATTTTGGAGTTGAAATTTATGATATATTTAAACACAACACAATAAAAAATAACATATTGAAAGTCATCCTTACACATTTGCACCAACCAAGCAACCAAAGTATTCTTGTAATAGTGAAGTCAACTTCCAAACTGAATGAGAAAATGCTTGTGGGTTTAGAAGTCTTACAGAACAGCCATTCTAAAACCAAGCAAGAAATTTGGTCAAACTAAAATCTGACATTATCTGATGAAAACAATAGTTAATAATTTAAAAGGTTAGTATCAGATCCGCACAGTCGCAAGAGTTGCTGAAAAAAGTCACCCCATACCTCGACACTATATTTTGAACTAGGAGACCCATCCACCCGCCCTTCTTGCCACCCTCCTCCGAAAAATCAAACTCCTCCAATGTCAATAACAGAAAGGTTGTACAGTCGAATCTCTGTTAACAGACATCTCTGTAAGATGTACACCTCGGTAAGATTACTCCTAAATGGACAGTTATAAGTGGCATATGTTCCAAAGGTGTATGATCAACACATACTTTAGAAAATAGAAGTAACAAAAATGTTCATTAAAAAGAAAGAAATATGAACAAAAGTGCCGTGTTTAGGTTGAAGTTATCCTTTCCAAACATTTCAGGCCTGGCCCCTCATCAGCCGAATTACCAGTTCGTTGAAACCGTTGCAAGGTTTATATACACCATAAATTACAAATAAAAATTAAAGGCTTTGTAGTGCACGCACGGCTCTACGCGCAGCGTAGAGGAAACGGAAGTCGGAGTTTAAACTGCGCGGCTGACTGATGCCAAATTGAAATATCAGTCACATTTCCAGGCGTTTCCGTTGCATGTTATCTACAGAGAGCATCATTCCTCGAACCAAAGCGTCGCCAATTGAGTGACCAGCCATGTTAAAATGTTCAGCCACAGGAAACCCACGGCAACTTCTTTTCAATGCTTCGAAGGTTCCAAAGGCGTCTTTCTTAGAGAGAGTTGACTATAAACAGGTTTTTGAATAAAAACAAAATAACATACTACATTATTGTAGAACGAATGATGTTAACAAACCTCATAAAAGTCCCAAACAACAGGAGCAAGAGCTCTTCCTTTAGGATTATGGGTCTCTCTGACTCCATTTTTATAAGAAGTAACATCTAAGTTGACTGAGAACTGAACTCTGTGCTGTGAAACAATAAAGAAAAAAAAGGACCAACACAAAACGTTAGAAAAAAAGACAACATTGCAGTGCAAAATGTTTCAGAAATAGCTAACCTATTTACAAAAAAAAACCACATACATGACATCACAATTTTACTGCAAGGTACAAAAACTGCATTTGTAAAGACTGTGTATCTCACTTACATGACAATTTCAAATTTTAGCATCACTTAATAGCCAATGTCAGTAAGTAACACTGTATGTTGTGGTTCAATATTGTATATTTTTTTATATCCCTGTTTTTTTTTCCTTTCTTGACACTGATCACTGTTACATATTGCCATGCCAAAAACAAACAAAAATAAACATCAAACCAAGGAAAAATAATTGAACCAAAACAAAATTTGTACATCATACTAATACTAATAATAATACTTATAATAATAATAATGATAGTTTCATTTAATAAGGATAAAACGTTTAGCAGAATACTGACAAACCTTACTGGGCTCTGCCCTAAATTAAAGTAGAAACTAATTTTCAGATGTGTTTACATAATAAGATACCCTATACCCCTGCATAATTAATTATAATACTATTTTGTATACAAAAAGAAAATCAAATGGAAATAAATAAGAAAATAAGATAAAAAATAGAACAAACATAAATAAATAAAAATTCAATGAAAAAAAATAAATAAATAAATAAAAGTTATGAAATAAGAAAACCATTTAAGCCAGCATAACCTTATGCTAGCACTAGATCTAATATGAACAGGGAATAAGTTCCAAAGTTTTGTGGCTGAAATGAGAAAAGTTCTTCCACTTTCTGTTTCCGTTATACCAAGGACAGTGTATAGTAATGTTACCAAAGGGTGAAGTTCTAGATGACATGTCACTGACAGACACTAAATGCTTCTACCTACAAATGTTATTGACTTGTGACTGTCTATATCAATTTTAATTTTCTACTATTCCCTGACAAGAATTGACTTTAAACTTTTACTACAGTGTAGAACATCATGGCCACAGTGTAAATATACTGCTTTTTAGTTGTTTCGCTGTACTGTGCCGGAAACATAATGGATTAGGTTGTTTCGGAATAGAAAAAATTGTGGTCACGGTATGTGATAATAAATTATAATAGCGAGAATTTTAGGGTTGAGAGAATTTTCAATATGGCGTTTGATGGTGAATATTCGGGACTCTCCCTTATATATAAGCATACCCCAGTTATAAGCCTATCTTCCTGGTTGTAAACAAAAAATGCATCCGATTATACCCACTCCCCCTGAATTTGATTTATTATGACATTCTGAAGCTTCACGCTCATCTCACCCTTTGCATGAAATGCCATGTTCACTTCACTTTACCCATAAAGCACCTGTTATGCAGGTTACTTAAAAACCAGTAAATGCCTTTTCTATTCCCATTATAAGCGCCTTCTGATATAAGCCCCTCTATTTAAAAACCCTTGTGAAGATGTATAAGCCCAGGGCTATGTAAGCAGCAATTTACAGAATGTCATCTTTGGGACCATATATTTCACTTTTTTAAATTATTGTATGGCATTATTATTAATCTTGCTATTACCTGTCTTAGAATATCATCCAGCTCTTTAGTACTGAACCATCCCTCATTAAACTCTGTCTGGTGTCTCTTTATTAACAGAGGCTTTTGTTCCCATAAATCACTAAAAAAAATGATAGGGAAGATTTAACTGATTCACATAGAAAAAAAAAACATTTTCTTAGGCTATGTTTACAATAATATACTGGAAAGCTAAATTCATATTGACACAAAAAGTTGTCCAGTACTGTATTATTTTTTAAACAGCATAGCCTGGAACAGGAACAAGTTGTTCACACATATCAAACATTGTTCTGGAGTGGTTGGCCGAAAGGGTTTGGTGCACTAAATCCCAGTCCTCAGTGTTAAATATTTTAATAATTCCAACTCAGTGGGATCCTCTAACAAGAAATTTCCAGGTTAAAAACACCACAATTTAGCTGGTATCCTTATTTAGTAAAATCCAACTAGTGGTCTATTATTAATGCTGCATTCTGATTGGTTGAACTACTGCTAGGCTATATGTTATAGCCCACTAGTAGCGAAAAGCGACAGCTCTGAAAACCAAAACTATGGCGGCTGAATCATGTTTCACCAGCTTAAGTTGTTTTGTCTCGATATTTTTGACCAACCTCTTGCCCTCATGGCCTCTGAGTCAATAGCCCATTCAGCCTTCAGCCTCATGGTTTATAATTGACTCAGAGCCTATTCAGGCTCGAGGAACAATATTGTTAAATACAGTTGGTTGAGGTGAGACAGGTTTTTCTTTTGTCTAAGGAAATAATTCAGTCATACAGACAGCTATGACTTGAACCTTGAACTTCAGATCTGAACTCCAAAGCAATAACCTATAAGGCACCCATCCCTCTATTGGTGGAAGGGGCACTTATTTGGTTTGCATGGGGATTTACCATTGGACATGGTTTTTTGGCCTCTATATTCTCAACATCTTATTCAATTTTAGACAAGCTTATTCTCCAAGGGTGTTACATTTTATAACGAAAAAGCAAAGCATATATTGTGTCCACTATCACTAAGGCTGAGGTTATTACTGTTAATAAGGTTAGTAATTTAGGTAGCATTTCACACCCTCACTGGCACACATAGACTGTACACTGTATGCCCAGGCCAAGTGTCTCCCATCCCTCCATTTACAAAGTCACCTTAAATTAAGGACTTTCACTATAAACATGAATGGGGTAAAAATAGCTTGCAACACAGGCACTTTATGACCCAAGCAAGGTGAATGGGGCATTTCGCTCAAAGCATGAGACGGCATGAAGTGCGAGATGAGTCCTTCCTTGTCTGGGGTATTTCACATGAAGCACAAGACAAGTCCTCCCATTACAGCTTTCTCAAAACCCAGCTGGTTGACGGCTCATCAAGCTACCTCCTTTCAAATCTCGACCGTCTCTTTCCAGAGCATGCCCCCAGACCCCCTTAGAGCCTTGCGCCTTTTAGATACTCACCCCCACCTAGTCCTCCGTATTCCATAGCCTACTCCACAAAATCTTTGTGAGAAGGCTGCCTTGTCTCATGCTTTACGAGAATGCCCCAATTGCCTCAACTGGCTCATAAAGTGCCTATCATGCAGGCTAGGGTAAAGATGAAATTACATGTAACAAATATGCAACCGGTACCTGAAAAATTTCTTAGGTTTCACTGGGCTTATTAACCAAGAAAAAAGCTTATCAGCTTCAGTCTCGTCATGGTCCAGTTTAACTAGATCATCCTGTTCTACTTCACTGTGCAATAATTCACTGTCCGATTTACAACCCGCCTTCTCTGGTAAACTGTGCACCGTTAGGTTACTGGTAGACTTCTCCAGTCCACGGTCGTAGCTTTGATATCCGTTTCTTTTGATTTTCTTCTTTCGACTTGATAAAGTCAGGCTCTGTCGCAGTTTATTCGCTTTGCTTAACAACGTTCCTTTTCCTCTTTGCTTGGATTCCGCTATTTCCGGAGTGTGTTCCTCGCGATCGAAGCTTTCATCATCGCCAGCCTCACCGTTTAAACTTTTGCTGCTAGCACGATCGAGTTTGCTCACTTTCCTAATCGACGCACGACTTGTTGAATTTTCTTCGTGTCGCCTCTTCTTCGATCCAGGGGTCTTAACGACTTTTTCCTGCTCCTTCTGTGAATCTTCATCTTCCTTTTTAAGTTGAGATTGATAAATACTAAAAGCTGAACGTCTCTTAAAGCTAGATTTCATTTTGTGGTGCTACTTGTAGGTTCATGTGGAACAGGTCCGACGAGGAACGAATAATTGATTCTCCCGCGAAAATTACCAGCGGACCACTTACAAACGGAATACTGTGGTGGTGTAAGAGAAGCAAAGTGTCCTTAAGGCGTGGTTACAAAGTCATCGCAGTATTCCAAAGGCGCTTCGCAAGTTCTCCTATTTATGGGGAAATTTTCGCAATCAACCGTCTTTACAACTCATTCCATGGCAGTTGGTTATTTTATTGTCATGTGGGTTATCGCTCTCTGGTTGGAAATTTTTGAAGTACTTCCGTTCTTGTTTCAAAACTCAACCCAGCTGCTCGCTGTAAATTTGGTTCTTTTTATCTATGCCATGATCAGCGTCATTGGAAACTATTACTACCTAGTAACTACTGACACGTCTTCTGAGACAAATGGTGCGTTAAATGAGGAGAGAGATGGAGTTTTTTACTGCCAGTCGTGTGCACGAAATTCGCCTCCAAGAGCACACCATTGTTCGCTGTGTGACAGGTGTATTCTAGGGCGTGACCATCACTGCTACTTCGCTGGCACATGTATTGGTCACGCAAACGCGCGATTCTTTGTTGTTTACGATTTCTTTGTGTTCATCACGTCCGCTTATGTTGTCGTTATAAACCTTATTTATCTGCACCAAATAATTGGCCCTTTTATTCCGTTAAGTTTTGAAGCAATCTGTAAGATAGTTCCACTGTTGACAGTGTTTAAACTCTGGAGCGGAAGTGTCACGCTATTTCACTTTCTGGTTATTGTTGTGACATGGCTTGGAATTATGCATGTTTTGGGATGTTCTGCGTGTTTCTTCTTTCAAATGTCATTGATTTTTGCTGGACAGACAACTTATGAATGGCAACACAACATATTTATTTATGATCAAGGATGGAGGAAAAACTTTCTGGGCATTTGTGGAAGCATGTGGTATCTTTGGTGGTTATTTCCAGTATTCCAGATGCAAAAACTTGCATCAAAAGAGGAAGACAACTTCACCCAGTATAACTCAAAAATATCTAAATACATCTAAAAGTACTTTATAATAGGTTTTTTGTCAGACATGCTGCTGGTATACCAAAGACATGTAACAGGGCAAGAAACAGCAGTTATGTTCACAGAGAATTTCAGTTGAAGCTCTTTCACCAAACACACTTGGGAGGCACGGAATGTGTTAGCCTGCATTGCTGCTATAATTATTCTCACCCCCAGCAGTCCAAGACCTTTGTTCTAGGCCCCCAATAGACTTAATAAATTACTGGAAGTGTATTTCGAATTTTCTACCAACTTGATTGTCCATTCAAACAATGAATTTTTTAACAGGCAAACCATGGCCTGTACTCAAGTCTCGGTACACAGGTGGGGTCTCAGAACAAGAATTTTGACACTGTCTCATAGACAGACTTAACCTGAGGTTTGGTTTTATCTGTGGTTCATGCCAGAAAAGTGTCCGGTATAGATGAAAGTAGGTTTCTGCTTGCAGAAACTTGCACCATGCAAACTTTTTGCAACAGCCACCTGGAATAACCTAAATCTGTTTTGTTTTGCTAAGTTTGAAAAGTCCGAAAAAGAAAACACGTACAACACAGTAGTACAGCTGTAGGGTATCGGGAAATTAATGTTTATTTTGAATGCATTAAAGCATTCTAGCAATAATATTCTTTGCATATGTTGAAGAATGTGGAAAAGTAGTGTTTAATGAGTACATCACATCCAAGTAAGTCATTTGTTTTTTCCATATTTTTAAGAATTATGGTGGTTTTGGCTCTGCACACTTTGTAATGACTATGTTTAAAAAAGCTAAAAGATCAGACATCTTTTTTAACCTTTTTTTCTGACAAAGCTCACTTCCTGGCTGTTTTTACACTGTTCTACACTTACTTTCCCTCTATTTTAGCCTAAGAAAACAGCCGACTTTTGGCAATGCTATTACCGGTTTCCCAGCAAAATGGTGTCTGAGGAACGACTGTAGAAATTCCATTTTGATGACATGTTGCTACCCAGTTCTGGGTATGTAGTGGTACTGATTGGTCGACCAATAAGAAGCTCAACCCAGATATGGATACTGATGCATCATAAGAATGGAATTTCTGTCCTCATTCCTCAGACATCATTTCTTGGGGAAACCCGTGGCAGTATCCTAAAATGTGGACTATTTCTCAGGCTTTCTCCATAATTTCCAGACTAACCATTAGTCCACTCAAAGTGGGTGGAGCACATAGAAGTGAAAAAACCCTCACAGGGCTGTCAAAGGGAACAAAAAAGAGCATGATGGAAACGTTAAATACTGGCTTAAAACATTTGTTATCAGTGAGATTAAGATTCATTTCTCTTTCCATCACGGATTTCCTCTTGTGACTTGATATATTCAGGATAGTCAATGTAGCCATCATTATTTGTGTCATCATAGCTAAGAATCTGATCCACTGTTTCTGCCATGTTTTCCTCTGCAGTTGACGCGGTATCATTGATTCCTGTTTCATTATGGTAGTGGCTCAGTGCTTTAAAAATTTCAAGGCCATCCAGTTTTTTGTTGCCATCATAATCATGTAGTCTAAAATAGTGGAACTGCATGTCTTCATCACTTATTTCTTCTTTTACGTCACCGATTTCCTCTTTCAGATGTTCTTTGATGTGACTGTCAAATGACAAATGAGGTCTTGTTAGATAGGCAATTCAGCGGAATATTCAGGGGAAGTGGATATGGGAGACTACACCCATTAGATTAAAGTTACTATAAATTAAATCGGTTACCCATCAGCAATGCAAGGGGATTAATCTCCATCCAAACTTTCGCTCACACTCTAAACCGCGTAAACTTATATAAATATATCTATAAACGCGGAATATTCAAAAACTTTAATTAATCAATTAACTCTAAATCTTAAGACATAAGCGAAGCAGTTGAGAAGAAGTGAAGACTTGTAAATAGAACTGAAAAACGAGAGAGATTTCATGCTATGGTAAGTAGATGCATTCTCGAGACCTTTTCATCTTTGGAGCGATTTTTAATTGCAAAACTAGGGTTTTCTTTTCAGCAAATCTATCTACCTGCTTGTAACCCATGTTGAAGCGAAAAGGGTGAAAGCCCAATTTCAACGCATGAATAAAGTGGGATTAACTGAGAAGTCGCTACATTATGTTTTCATGGGAGGAAAAGTTTTGGATGGCAACAAATAAAAAAAAGTCACTTAAAAAGTGAATTCGTACTGTTTCAAACTTCATCGATCTTTTAAATTGTCAAATGTTGACGAAATTTTCTAGGGTTTAATCCGAAGGACCGTATCTAAGTTAAGAAAAAGAAGAGGAAAATTGTTGTGATTTGTCAACCTACTCTATAAAGCAGGCTCCTGAAATTCCATGTAGGAAGTTTCATGTCGCAGTTGTGCAATGACGGCTAAAGAAATGTGCAAAAAGTGTGATGCACACGCAAAGCTAGCTGTTGTTTTGCTGATTGTTTTTTCCCATTTTCGTTGCCGTCATCATCGTTGTTGCTATTCAGACATTTTGCTACTGAGTTTGATGGGTGTTCTCTTGTGGCTCCCTAGGCCTATATATGCTAAAATGTAAGCACGCACTTTTGAACGCTAACGTCTACCCTTAAGGACACGTCCACCTTCGACTAAGGCCCCGTCCGGCACTGGGACGCATCCGGATGCTATTGAAAACGGAGAGTTATTTTCTCTGCTTTAGCATTCCGCAAAAGAGAATGAGCTCATTTTATTTTGCCTTCCATCTTCACGTAAACGCTGTTGTCGGGCAAGAAAAACGCGGGGATGCTATCGTATTTTCGTTGTTTGGGCGTTTTCCGCGGTAGACGGTCGAAAACAATTCGAATACGCTGGACGGAGCCTTAACCTTTTGCTTGTTCTCTTTGCCTGTCGCCGTCGTTGTACCCCGACTTTAAAAAGGTCCCTTTTTAAAGAGGCCTCTGTGCTTGCTTTAAAAGAGCCAGAAAATGAACCAAAGACAATTCAGTTTTTGAAAATTCTATTGTGAAGCCTGCTCCCAGAACCGCCCCTTTATCGCACGATCAGGCTTTCACCTCCCATGCTCTACTCATACGCACCTCTCCAACAAAAATCCTGCCTACGGGCCTTTAAAAATGCATAGCGGAGTCTGGAAGGGTAATTCACGAGATCCGCAATTTGGTCAAAATATAGTGCGGGATTTACGAAACGTTAACGTGAAACGGAATTTTACTTCTACCGGCCTGGAAACGGGATTGAGAAAATTTGGGCAAGGATGCGAAATGTAGACTGAAAAAAACGCCAATATTCGGGATAGCGATGATAGAAGTTCGGGATGCGGGATTCTCGGGAAAAAGAAGAAGGTTCAGGATCCCGCTTTGCAGACCCTCTACATAGGAGATAACTAGGTATGTCATGCAGCCTTTCTTCTTTTTAGATGTTACTGAGCTCCTGTCGATTTCAAATTCAGATGTATATTTTGAATAATTTCTTCCTTTTGCTTTTTGTGTAGAATGGTGTTGAGTAAATAAACCCATTATTAAACCGGCTGGCTTAAAAGCACCTGCTTTAGATATGTTTTAGTTTCAAAAACGGCATCTCCTGTCATTGGACAAATTTACATAAAACAAGTTGTTTTGACGATTCTCGCTATAACTTCGCAATATTGAGGCCATCTTAACGCATTTAAAACTCAAACAAAATTGAGTGCTAGCACTGAATATAAAGTCCGGCGATTTGTTTAGAAAAATCTCGCCAACGCCGAATCGGCAAAAGCAGGCGCCTCGGATTTTTTTTCACCGTATGTTTTTTGGTAGTATATTTAATATTCGACATGCAAAAGAAAGACACAGAAGGAAAAATAAAACATCGTTCAGAAAATTGAATACACCAAATTTTTAACCGATTTTCAGGTGACATTTTACGAACTACGGTTGAACAGTAATAAGTATGAATTACATAAAGTCAATATCCTTTACAAGACTTGTAACAGTTGTAAGAGATGAAGTTCTTTTCAGCGAGAGAAGAAACACAAGTGCTCACTATCGCCATGACAAACGCTTCAGAAACTTCAAAATTTATGCAGCAGTATCTGTGGCTCTTTACCATATAAATTAGACCAATTTTGCACTTTTTAAAAGCTGCAAAGTCTTGGAGCTTTGATGGCTGCTTGTATTTGAATTCTAAAATTTATTTCACCGCACTGAAGTTGAAGAAAACTAACAATTCTCCATTTCCTCGTCGAAGGAAAGCGGGATGTTAAAATACCGACTGTATACTCACTCTTTATCTTTCGTAACCTTTGAATCGTGTAGGGCAGATCCATGTTGTTCTCCATGAGCTGATAAACACGATAAAAGTGCGACGGAGATACATAATTTTAAACGAAACAGCAAAGCCATGACGAGTTCTTCTTTGCCCGGATTCTTTGATAAAACTCTTTCAAGTTACGTTGTTCGATAAATAAAAAGCGCGCCAATCGCTTAAGGGCAAATTTACTTATGCTAATCTGCTTTATTACCATTGTGTGCTTTTAAACTAACTAGAGATTTAATTGTTGTCTAAAGACTAGTTGCTTATGTTTATAGGCTCGTGTAGTTTAACCATTGGCAGGTCTACGTACAAAGAAACTTAACGCCAATTTACAAATTTTGTCCTCGCTTCATTGATTGTTTCTTTTAAGAAACACTGGGTTATATTGTTAGTTCAATAAGAACTCTTCGCCTCACTTGTCGGAAACCGGATGACAGAAGAAGTACACCAGGTCAACTAACATTTACGTTCCCTCTCAAGGTTCACTGACACGAGTCGTGCAAAGAAATCAAGAAAGAAATAATGANTATCTTTCGTAACCTTTGAATCGTGTAGGGCAGATCCATGTTGTTCTCCATGAGCTGATAAACACGATAAAAGTGCGACGGAGATACATAATTTTAAACGAAACAGCAAAGCCATGACGAGTTCTTCTTTGTCCGGATTCTTTGATAAAACTCTTTCAAGTTACGTTGTTCGATAAATAAAAAGCGCGCCAATCGCTTAAGGGCAAATTTACTTATGCTAATCTGCTTTATTGCCATTGTGTGCTTTTAAACTAACTAGAGATTTAATTGTTGTCTAAAGACTAGTTGCTTATGTTTATAGGCTCGTGTAGTTTAACCATTGGCAGGTCTACGTACAAAGAAACTTAACGCCAATTTACAAATTTTGTCCTCGCTTCATTGATTGTTTCTTTTAAGAAACACTGGGTTATATTGTTAGTTCAATAAGAACTCTTCGCCTCACTTGTCGGAAACCGGATGACAGAAGAAGTACACCAGGTCAACTAACATTTACGTTCCCTCTCAAGGTTCACTGACACGAGTCGTGCAAAGAAATCAAGAAAGAAATAATGATAGTAATAATTACAAATAATGATATTCTCCGCGTAGTCCCCTGTGAATAACGCACGGTGAGTTGTCAGGGGATAGTAATGGAAGTCCTAAAAAGCCTTAAATATTATCATCAAAGTCTTAAAGCGCAAACAAGACCATAACTGACCTTAGGTTCAGTGAGCTTTAAAGCTTTTTTTGTTTATATACTGTAAGTTTTAGCTAGTATGTTGTATTTATATGCCTATAATTTAATAAGTGCATTGTTTAAGATGAAATTTGTAGTAGGGTCTGACGGATAGTTGTGTTCGTAAAAACGAGTATATGGTTTTTCGGCAACACCCATGAATTTAAAGTATTTTGTCCAAAATTATGCTCCTAATTAATTTAAGCCCGACTAAAATGACACTTTCCCTCCCGTAACTGCAGTCTTTCATGGTAAAGAGAAAAATGTTAGAGCCTAGCATAAGTAATGAGCTGGAAAATACTGATGACAAAGTAGAAAAAATAGAACGGTATATTTATTTCAAATATTTTACAGATTCTTTGATGTTAACGACATAGCTAATACTGGACATGACAGTTGAACAAGCGACTGTGTACCTGAAGGAAGAAAAAAAGGAACGTCAACTCTAACGAACAATTAAACGAAAAAGCAAAAATAAAACTATCCGTAACAAGGAATCTAACGACAAATTGGCGGCAATTTTTTTGCTTGTAAAAAGAATGGAAAGTGGTTTCGCGATTGTGTTGGTTTAAACTTGAGAAATTTGGAAGTGGCCCAAAAGTTCGAAGTTTGAACTAGGCCTTAATCGCTATCGCAGCTCTATTTGGGGAACTTGAGGAGTTTTATACAGTTAAAAAATATTACAGTAGAATATATTATACCTTGCTCGGCCAAGTTGGCAGAATATTAGCCAAGTTCTTTTGTGTGTTTTTATGGACCGAGACAAAGGCAAGGTCGATTAGAACGAAAAAAAGAACGAGGCCAATATTGTTCCATCTTGATCGAACAACCTTGGTCAATATGGCGAAAAAGAGAACTTTTTCTTGCGGGATCTACGCGGGAAATCCCGAGCGGGCAAGATAGTTGCCGCTCGCGTAGCCAATCAGAACACAGGATTGGCTTTATCTTGCCCGCTCGAGGGTTGTACGATTCACCCTCGGAATCCGTAGTAAGGAGACGATGAGAGAATGACTGGCTTCATTAAAGCAATTACAGTGGAACCTCGATATAAAGAAGGGCCAAGGGACTTGCAAAATTAGTTGGCTATAACGAGGTTCTTTTTCATTAGACTGCGAGCAGTGTCTTATTTTTCTTTGCAAAGTTACTGCACGAAACCTAAGCACGCCAGCGGCGAAGACGCTTTCCGCGAGAAACGAGGGCGTAAGCTAGCTGACGGAGGGTTTGTTTACTACAAAAGAGTCAGCAGTACGTCTTTTCTCGTCTCGTCTCAATCCCTAAATAATAATATTATATCGTGGTTTGCAATCGCGCTGGATAAGATAAGAACTAGACGGATTTTAAGAGAAAAGGCGGACTGCAAGCAGTCTACTTTTTCATATATTTTACTGTTACTGGGATAAAGTTTTAGCAAGCAATATCGCTCCTGAAGCAATACATCCCCAAGCAGTATAGCTCCAAGGTGACATGGTCTGCCTAAAGTTTTGCTGGCACGGTTCTGCTTCCTTAACTTACTTCAAACCATTGACAAATTTTGAGAAGGAAGTACCATAGTTTCTCGTCTAAGAAGGGAGGGATACCGACGACAAACTGCTAGGGGATCCTGCGATGGAGTGGCATACAGTGTGGGCGGAGTAGCAATACCCCTACGGGTGCCTCATGCTACAGAAACCGGGTAAGCTCTGACCGTGTACCCCATGTGTGTACCGAAGACAGACTGCTAAGGGACCCTGCGATGGACTAGCATTAAAACGGCATCGATGGAGTAGCAATACCCCTACGGGTGCCTCATGCTACAGAAACCGGGTAAGCTCTGACCGTCTGCCCCATGTGTGTACCGAAGACAGACTGCTAGGGGACCCTGCGATGGACTAGCATTAAAACGGCATCGGCGCAGTAGCAATATACCCCTACGTGTGTCCCATGCTACAGATTCCGGTTAACCCTAAACTAACTTAGGGAAAGGTTTGAAACTCTAAGACATACCATAGATAGTGTAAATACAGATGGTCAACAAAGCCAAACACAGGAGCGGATAATGAGCAACCAACAAGGGCCAACTGTAGAACAGTATTCGTCTAAAGTAAAGGAAAAGAAAACAGCCACAAGTGTTGTTAAATACTGTATCGCAGAACCTCGCGAAAGGTAGCATTATAATGCTTTTCGAAAAGAAGGGAACTGTTTCTTTTTGTTCATAAATTCGAGAGTCATCACATTAAAATCTCGCTATGAACTTGGGACGGGCATGGTTTGCGATCTTGAATCATCTTGTTTGCCACTACAAAAAAATTACGAAGAAACATGGATTAAGGGCGTCAAGCCTTTCATTAATGCCAGTACATTTCAAAAAGATGAAATTGCTCAGGCACTAACTCCTGAAGATGTTCTGAATACAAAGGAACTGTCAGCTACGTTGATATTTTGGACAAATTTAGGTCTCTGGAAAACTGCCCACCTACCCCTCCCTTAAGTCGACATTTTGCCCTAAGTGAGAAGTTAGTGTTAATGTTTGCTTAAGGGAGGGGTAGGTGGGCAGTTTCCCAAAAATCTAAATTGATCCGATATTTTTTGTCGAACTGCTCCACCTAAGTGGAAGTGAAATGGTATATCTTACTAATAATAAAAATAAGCAATGAAACACAAACCGATTGGTCCAATTGCAAGGGTATAATAGCTCGGTAATTTTAAGGATATAAAGTTCTGTTCATAAGTAGGTTGAGTATGATCGTCCGGGTGAACGTAGTCCTGAATAGGAAGGACTGTTGTTGTTGAAAAAGTAACTGAGGTTTTGACAACCTGTGCGGTAGTCATCTTCAGGGTCGAAGTCTTTGACTCTGAAAGTGACTACTACACCAGTCACTGTCAACAACAACAGCCCTATTCAGGACTGCGTTTATCCGGATGCTCCTACTCAACCAATATGAAATGACTCCTGGGTTCAAACCTTCCACAGACATAAAGTTCACCCTTCTTTTGGTGGTGTCCAACCAAAACTTTGTTTTGTCCGACCAAGATGGTGTCTTAGTAGGACATATTTCCTTTCAAGAGATAAAAATTCTTACAGCCCTACCTTATTCACTCATGTTTGGTCCAGTATTGAAAAGACAGGAAATAATGATACAGCAGGTACAGGGCATTGCAGATTGAAACCTGCTTAAATTTACATTAAAAGGATCTGAAACAAGCAAACTCACCTTGCCAAGTAGGTTTGGTCGTAACTCCACGGTGGGAAAGTTGATATCAAAATACCTGGAGATCGATTTCTAAGAAAAAGAAAGACTGTTATTGTCTCAAACATCAATATGAGAAAAAGGACTGCTGAAATAAAAGACTGTGCAGCTAGAAGCAGTTTTAAAAATCGAAATATAAGGATTTTTATGGGGAAAAACAATTGTTTCTTCGGTGTAACCTAGGGAGTACGAAATATGTGAAAGGCTGTATCAATAGTACTTGCCAACCTCACATATGTTCTGTGTTTCTCTTTTCCTGTGTGATCCCCCAGCTGATTTATGGCCATTTCATCTGTTTTATTGTTCCAATAAAACCCGTAGAATCCTTTAATGCATTTGAAGGCTATGCAGCAATACAGAAAGCACATATGACAAATATTTTGAGCTTAGGCAACATGTGGTTGCTCCCAATCCACCAATAAACCATTAATAACAAACACCCTGACTCTTTGTTCAGTCTAGAAGTACAGATCATACTCACAGGTGAGGGAAGAGATTTAAATCTGAGATAAAATGCATAACCAATAAGAAGAGCATCTCGACTGAGGATCAATGCAGTTAGAGGAACTGAAAAAAAAACATGTCCAGGTTAGTGGATTGCTGTGCAGTAGTAAGAGCATGGTTCTGTTAAGTGGTGGTTTTAATAGTAGGTCATCCTTTTTTCCCTAGAGCCGCCAACAAGCAAGAAAGTAAAGTTACGCAGGGTGCTCTCAATCAACTGTGACACAAAAGAAAAAAAAAGACGTACTACTTGTAGTCTAAGAGGTGGGTCACAGGTTCAAATCCCACCTTCAAAAAAAAGGGAAGATGATAGATCACACTGGCTGTGATTTGATTCTCCAAGTCCCAAGAATAATGTCAAAACATAATTCCTTACTATGGCCTTGGTCATTGCAAGCAATTCCTGTCCCTCATTTGTCCCACGCCCAATGGGCTCTCCCATGCATTGATTTCCTCTCTCCCTTCCCTACAAATAGCTGCCATGTAGGCTAAAAAAATCACACCACTAGTACAGTCATTAAGGGACAGACCATTAAAAAACTTATGGGGGGTGGGGGGGGGGCAAAGTACAAAAAAGTATTCGCACACGCCAATTCACCCTAAAAAATATTCATGCTATGGCCGAAAAAAAATTCATACAAGGAATTTGAAAACAAAAATTTTCCGTTGACTCAAAAATCCCCCCCCCCCCTAAATTTTCTATTGTCTGTCCCTAACCGCGCTTTACAGACACGTGCATAATACGAACACCTTGTTATTACAGACAGTTTGCTTTGCCCCTGGGGAAGGACAGCCCTTATATTTTAGCTAAATTCAACCCACTTAATACAGACCCGATTAATACAGACACTTATTGTGGCCTCCTCAGTGTCCCTTTTAACGGAGTTTGACTGTAGTACATATCTTATATTGAAGGTTTCATTTTACTTTTTATCAAACAACATTACCTGGTAAAAGAGACACCAAAGTCAGAGAAACTGTCAGCACAGACATGAGGATCTTGTCAGCCAGTGGATCTAAAATGGTTCCCAAAACGGACTTCTGATTTTTAAAATTTCTTGCTATGAAACCATCAAGCTACAAAAAGAAAATGTGAATGCTCACATTCAAAGCTCTCATGGCTGCATCATTGACCAGTGATTCATATTTAAATTATGCACAGATTAGAAAATACATGTACCCCACTTCAGAATGTCAAGGGAGAATGGGTACCAGGTTTGGGTGCAGTGACGAGCATTAGTAATGTTTAGTAGATGGTATTCAAGGCAACCATAAACCAATCAGAAATCAGTGCTTATAAAGAGGTGTTCATTGGTAATAGGACTGAATGGAATCCAAGTCGATCTTGTCAAAGATTATTATAGTTACTTGTATTCTTATTAGCAGTTGTGTTGTTTCCCAAATTACCTGTAAATTAGTCTTTTGTTAAATTCTGTCACCTTTACAAGTTCTTCTTATATAAATGTTTTGTATTCATTTATAAATTAAACTATTGTAGACTTCCTTCATGGCGTAGAAATAGCATTTTTCCTCTTCACCCTTTTTTTTCTTTTCCTTTTATGTTTGCATTGTATTTTGTGCTTCAGTCTTCTTGAGCACTGACCTGTAATTTAATTTCATTTAATGCTGATGTTAACTGGCTGCCTGGCTCCACTAGCCCTCAAGGTTATTTCAGGCAGCCAGTACTCTAATTTTTGCTTTTAATGTTTTCATTGTTGTAAAAAATTTATTTTTGAGCAAGAGTGAGTACGAACAAAGATTGTTGTTGTTGTTGTTGTTGGAATAATCTGAGTGATTATCGAAATTGGATGATCGTGCAGCATAGATTCTTATAACTAAAGCATGATCTTACCATATCTGTGATTCCTGCGACACCAAACAAAGCTAGAGAGCTAACAAAATCCTCTGTTATTACCAGATAACCAAGGACTGGTGTTGCCAGTATCCTGAGAGTTGACAGCAGGTTTGGTATCGTAAATATATCTTCTCTCTGTAAGCAATTCATTACGTGCTAAAAATTAGTCAGAGTAATGTGAAATTCCCACACAAAATTTATTCTCCATTTTCTACAAACACTTTCAAAGACACTTTCAAAGAAATGTTCAGAAAACTTAGAGTCATGGCCCCTGCTCTGAAAAGGTTATTACGTAACTGGTACTCAATCTCTTTTTATATGAAGGTGAAAAAAGAAGCAGTAAAAGCTTTATTATCTTCATGTAGTCGCAATCTTGGATTTTATGCCAAGGAAGATTGGGGAGAGGAGAAAGAGCAACCTCAGGGGTAGTTGCTGGACAGAATCTGCTTTTTCGCAAATAAATATGGCACTTTCAACATGGTGATTATGCGAAAAAAAAATTACTTGCCCAGCCAATGAAAATGCTTGCAATGCAGGCAGTATGAAAAGTGCATGTTGATTGCATCAGGCCACCATCTTGAAAGCACACAGAAAAATAAGGGGGGGGGGGCAGGGAGGAGAAAGGGAAAAGTATTTTTTCCTCACCTCCTGCTATTCTATTTTAAATCTGTCATCTCCTCTCTAGGAATCATTTTTTGACTCACCCCATCAGTTTCATCATCCAAGATGGTGGGAGAAAAACATGCCTGCTTCGCAAGCTATAGGAAAAGAGGTTTACATTTGGATGTAAATGGGAACTTCTTTTAGTATAATGTACCATTCCAAGGATAAGCACCTGGATAAGCACCTGGACTCACTTTGAAAATGAGGCTAGAGGTCATTCGAAAGTGGCCAGGTAGTATGACAGCGAAATAGGACTCTACTTTGAAAAAATCCTGCCCACTTTGCTGATCTTGACCAACCCTGAACAGCTGCTTAATTAATTATTTCCCTTGTGTTTACGCACCTATCAATGGTTTGCCCAAGGATAGGGGAGTGGGCAACCCATGGAAATTAGACTAAGTGAAATGCACATGGGTAGGGAATTTGACATCCTGAACATCCCCAGGGTGGGAAATTTGACTCAGCTGCCATCTTGGAAAGTGGGACCAGGGAATGAGTGGTAAGAGGTCTGCCATCTTAGAAAATACCCAGTAGTCATTTGGATGAGTTTTCCCACATTTTGATGTGTTCATTTCTTTGTGAAGGATGGCAGAATGAAATTTAAGAGTATCTTGTTGCTTTCTAAGTTTTTGAACTTTTATGACAAAAAGTAGGGAGTTTTAGCAATGACGACGGCGATGGCAACAAGAATAGCAATAGGTTTATTAAGCAAAACAATTTGTTTGCACGGGCATCACGCTTTTTTGTACATTTCTTAGCCGTTACTGCACGACTCCGACGTAAAAATGCCTAATTTCACATTTCATGGAAAACATAATCACGTGACGACGAAATGTTCTCTCTCTTTCTAAACTTGAGAGCGGTCCCCTAGAAATCAACTCGGGGAAATTGGCCTACATTAGACATTTTCAGCGAATTGGAATAAATGAAACAAAGTTTGAAAAAATGGTAATCCATTTTAAAAGTGATGTTTTCACCGCCGTCGCCGTCATGAATGCTAAACTCCCTAGTACTTTGTCTAATTTGAAAATATGCTTTCTACTAATATGTTTTCACCAGATGCTGCCCTGCAAAAGTTTTTGGTATAACAAAAAGATCAAAAAAATCATACTGGACCACAGTTGCAAACACCAGCCCTTATGCATCAGCGCATTCCAGCTGCGCCCATTTGAAAACCTGAAAATGTCAAAGTTTCCGTTCCCCCCCCCC